AAGCCTGTCACCAGGAACACCCTGTGTGACAGTCGAACGTAAACTCTGAAGAATGTTTCAAATTTAAATTTGACGCGTTCAAATTGCTTCCATTTCTGTACCGTGTTGACACAGTACTTTGTAAGGGGAGTTTTGGGCTATTTACCTAACGTGAGGGTCTCTCTGAAGGAAAACAGCATTGCGAGAGCATTGTTTCCGTGTTTGTGGACCATCATTCTCACAATAGGAAGAGCGATAAGTAGGTAAATATCCATACCCAGTCCCTAGATCGCCCCTCCCCCGGGGTCAAATCCGCATCTGGGGCTGGCGGTTAGCGGGCAATAACTGTGCTTGTTAGGTACCATTACAACACTCAACCAAACATCAGTACAGAAATTGAGACATGCCAATCTACCTAAAATGTCTATCACTCACACAGGCTCTAAGTGTACAAATAAAACGTTCATACAATCAGAGTCCTCATCATTTACATTTCCGAAAAAAAAGTCTTTTTATTAAAACTAATTAAATCTTCAACACTTTAATAATTGGATGAGTCAGCATTTGATAACTTGTGACATTTCGAAACGACAATATTCAGACCATCCTTGTCTGATAATGAAAGCATTTCCAACAGCAGGACTTCGTATTAAAATAATATACAAAGAAGCATTCAAAGCACAGTGATAATCTAGAAAGACTTTTCGTGTCGAAGTTAAATTCAATAAGAAATTACAGGAATGAAGAAACGCCGAAATGAACAAATAAAGACACCATGAACCCAACATAAACGACAGTGAAACCAGGTACCCCGGACGGGTACGTGTATTCCGATCCATGCCATAACATACCTTCTTAAAGACAAAAAAACAGAGATCGAAATGACACCATCACAAAATAAGCCCAGAGATGCGAAAAAAATATTCGGAATGATAAGCGTGTAAGTAGCCACATATGGCTACATAATAAATCTAGGAAAGGGTGAAGGTTTCCAACGATCTAAGACATACTTAACAAGTCTTAAACCAATAACGACAGTAAAATATCGGCGCTTGAAATCATATCACGATAACGTCCGTACAATTTCTGCAGCGTAGATTAAACCCTGTCTGTTTGGAAACCCAGGGTAAGTAGTTTAAAGTTGGTTAATAGCATTCATCATTCCAAAAAGCTCTGATCCTTAGAAAAGTATCTTAAGTAAAAAAAATCAGCTGTGATATGTAACTGGTATGTTACAGCCGATAAAAAGGAGTTAAACGATGGTAGAATTAAACTCCTCATCGCGTTTGATACAGTGTGCGGTGCCTTCGATTTGAAGTGGTATATGACGTAACAGATTAAACACCACATCCATGTTAGTAAGACAGTTTTAAGGTAGTATACATAAATATGTTGATAAAGAGGCTGTATTGGAGTCAAACACACTAATAAAAGAACTTCTCCGTATAGGAATGGTACAAGTCAAATACTAACGGCTTGTGCTCCGAGAGGTATTACGAAATCCATCTCGACTCAGTATGTACAGACCGTTACCGACACCAATTAAGCCAGCGATCAGTAGGTATTATTCTCAATCCCTTTCAACTTCATTGAGACTTGCTTTTATTTTTGGATGCTGGAGATTAGCGCGGGGACTTAAAACGCGTAGTGAGTTCATTCATTTAGCGACCTTTGAAGCATACTCTAGCTCCGAAACGTCCCTCAGCTAGATAGTTATCTCACTCTAGTTTAACACAATTGCTATGTAAGTTGAATAGAATGGGAACTCGTGTTTAGCTGGAATTAGCACATCCTTACCTAACCTTATTGTTCAAAAAACATGGGTAATTTACAGCACTTATGCATGTCGTATTTTTCCTGCATATTATTGCTTCACGTGTGAATCGTACAAGAAAAGGATGTATTCTTCACAGGGTCATTTGTGTTGTGTTTACTAGGAAAATATGTTTCTGTATAAACTACAGATAACGCTTTATCAATCAATAACGCTGATTATAATATTTCGATAACTTATTGTAACTGAAATTGTCGGATTTAAGGCTCCTGTGCTCACTCACTCCAGACAACGACTGGTCAATTGTACGTTTTCTTCTTGTAAAGCCCATCATGCGCATAACCTTGGATATCAATAATGTCCGAGGTGATCCGAGTGAAAAATGGAGCATTGCAAGTCGTTATTATGAAACCATTGATTGCCAATTTAAAACAACAAAAAAAAAACTATTTTTCTGCTTCTATATGTTGATTTCCATATCTCATTTGTTTGTTATTTTCTTCATTCATTTGAACGCTATCAGGTTAAAATATTTCTGCAATATCTGTGCTGTTTCGGAGCCGTTTGATTTCAAATTTATTATTTAATTTCGTATGAAAATAATTTTCTGACTGCTCACACGTTATCAGTGTTTTCCTCCAAAAGTGAAACAGCAACGCTCATTCGTCAACCAGAATGATAGAAAAGTCTGTCTAACGACCTTGGTGCTCCTATGGCGTACATAAGTGTCTCGCCACTTTGTGAAGCCAGACAAAACTATCTGAACAGCCCCCGTCTGCTCGACAGAGCTGTCGTTGAAGCCCTCCATTCAACACGTAATATCAGTGTTACGTTCAAACATTCAACAGACCCTATTTATTTTGGAAACATGACAAGGAGGCGTAACCGCAAAAAACTTTCTCTTTCAATTCTGTAGAGTCACGTGACAAGCCACCACGCGCGAGATATCTCCCGCCATGTTGTACAAACATTTGCTTTGAGTTGCCATTAGGATAGTGTTCAAACTGCAAATATACCCGAGTAATTTAGGGCATGTACAAATGTAACGAGTTGCGCATCGAATTTAACCAAAGTTTACTTTTCTTAATCCGATAACGAGAATAACTGACACTTAGGCGAGACCATCGAGTACAAATCAAGAGAGAGCCGGGTAAAATAAATACCTCTCTGGCCCCTTCTTCACCGGCAGTGCACAATGATTCGTTTGTTTTACACACAATGAAACTCAGAAATAGATAGAAACAGACTGATCCTGACACCAGGAGAACAAACAAGGCACGCAGGAATCGACTCGTTTTCAGTAATACGACCCGGTACAGTCCTAACTCACAATACGTTAGTATTGGCTAATTAAACCTACCACAAAACATGACAGCTGCGCATTTATAATCAAATAACACCACAAACCAAATAATCCCAAATCTGCGACTTGAACACTGTACGAATAAAAAAAACTTCCAAAAACGGTTCCCCCAAATCCACGTTTATATACGGTATCGTCCCCATAAGTGTAAAATCTTATTTGATAAACATTAGTTACACGAATATTGAATAATTTTGAATAATATTTTCATAACATATTGAATGAGTACTTCACCAAAATTCTTGACACGTGATGACATTAATACAAGATGTGTCAATTAGAGAGTAGGTAATACATTATCATAGTTTAGATGCTAGAATAGAGTAAAGATTATACAGAAAGTGAATGAATTGGTCCCCGGTAAAGTATTTGAGCAAACATGCCAATTTCTAAATTTCAGAAATAATTTGAATTTCTCTCTTTTCTTTTAACACTTGATAAATAAATATATGAAACTTTATTAAAGATGAGATCCCGGTGATTTATGGTATTGTTTCAAGTTTCACTATTAGAAATATAGAACAACGTTTCGGGTACTTTTCAAATAGAAGAGTTATTAATTTTCCATCAATACTACAAACGATATCAAAATTCAAAAGTTAACTGTCCAAAGAAAGAAAAAATAGATTTAGATTGAGCCCGTCGTAAAGCTAGCATTTGCTTATATTCAAACAACTTTAATAAGTCACACTATTTAAACATCAATGTGATTAAGTTAATGGTAGATACTTGTCTGCTTAATTACTATACAGCTCCAGACTCGCGTGATTTCTATAGTGTCTGTGTTGAGTGAATGTTGTGTACCCACGCAAAGAAATACCATGGCCGTCGTACAATCATACATTGCGTATCGCAATGATATATTTGTTTTGTAACATATTTCACACTTTCTGTATATTATTTAGCCATTTAACTCATTGTGATAATAGAAATGATGAAAATAATTATTAAAAACACCCGAAACAGAAGCGGAAACCTATCTTGAAAGGGTGATTTGGCAATTTATTCATGCTCGAGTTAATTCATAGCTTCCTTTAGACCTATGTCTCGAATAACACAGCTTCTCGTATTTCGATTGAATATTTGCCAAAGTAAGGTAAAGGATGTTTTTTTAAGAAACTCATTCAAAATATTGATTAGTGCCGTATGTCAAAATACTGTAATACACACTCTCGGGTTTATTTAAGTGTTATTTAATCAATTAATGAATATTTTCTTGGAAACGTTATCATGCTGTATAATTATTATAGGTTTCAAAATATGCAAGTTCCATGGTAAAACATCAATCATCCGATTTAAAGTATGATTATGATTAAGTCGAGATATTGAAATTTATTCATTTAACTTTTAAAACGAATTAATAGATCACATTTTGTTATAACTTGAAAATTGTATATTCCCTTTAACTAGATTTTTTATAGAAATATTATATAAATAAATAATTACTCACATCTTATTTATAAATTTACTAAGAGAAAATGGTTTATTTAAATGTTTAAAAATAACTCTGACACGTCCAAAAACAACTGTTAGTTAATTTGGATACATAACGGTTTTGATGTGGTCAATATTTCAATCGTTAGTACTTGAGAGACGGAAATATAAGTTCAAAATACTTAGCCCATAGAATAACTCCATGTCTTATTCAGTTGAATTAATGGTTTTAAAAACTACCACATAAAATATCACATATAGTTATTAAATGTTATGCTTTCTGATTTGTTTCCTGTGATTAAATACATATTTAGTGTATGTCGTTTTCCTTTCAATTCAAGACATTTAAAGTCAACACATAACTGGACATTTAGACAACATACATGCATTTTCAGAAGAAGAAAAAAATAATTTCTATACATATCTGATATATATATATTATGTACTAACTTTGGTGCATTCCTTCCCCGGGGGGACGGGATCTTTGTCCGCCTCGCCCCCGGGATCTTACATCGACACCACCTTGTAAAGATACAATATATATATACGTATATACCTTAAACAGAGTGGCCGGGGACTAACAGTTTTGACTACTATAGGTTTGTTTTGTATATTATAAGCAAACATTGTATACCGGTAAAATGAATATTCAAATAGCGTCTAAGTGCTTTAGTCAATTTATAAAATCCTCAATACTCATTAACATTTCTTCTACAAATTAGTGATATCAGTATTGCTTTAAAAACTGTCAGTTCAATTTCATTTATAATGCCCATGTTTGTTTTAAATTTTATCTCTGAATATATGTTAATAAGACAAAAATTTACATTAAACGAAACGAGAGAGAAAAATACATTTTAAATTACCTTTCATGTGTTATATTAAATATTTGTGTGTCGGGCAAATACATACAACAAAAATATACCTTTTTTATATTTTTGAAATTTTAGTTTATACATCATTATATACGTAAAAATAGGAGCATTTAGATTCAGCACATATTTCGTTACAATAATATTATATACAAAAAGAGAGAGAAAACTGCGACGGGCTACATGCTTTGTTATTGGTCAGTAATGAGAAAGGAAAAACTGGACAATAAAATTCAATTTAATTTAAGGCACCCTTTAAAAAGTGTTCCTGTTTTTTTGTTTATTTTTGCTAGATAATGGCATACATTTTTGCTAGAAAGAAACATTTGTATACACCGGTCAGATATGCTAATACTATTACCAAGTAAATAAATTTACATATACAAAATAACAACTAATCATGGAGGTTTTGTAAACATTATATACACAGAAAAAGAAATGTAATTACCGTGTGTGATGTCCCCGAGTCTCAGGCCGGAGAGGGCGTGGCCATTTAGTTTGTCCCCCTGTTTGTTCTTTGTATATCCGTAGAGAACCATGTCTACCTCCTCCTGTGAAAACGAGAACGTCGGAATCCCCATGGGAGGGGCGAATCGGTTCATCAGCATCCCGGGGGTCGAGGCCCCGATCGTCGTCATCCCCGATACGGAGGTGTGGGGTGGGGCAAACATGGGTGCGGACATTGGAAAAGCCGGACCCCCCAGATGTAACCTCTCCATCGGCATCCTGAAACGATCAAAATAAGATTAGAAAATACTTTTACATTGATATTTAGGATTCAAGTTTACAGATTAAACTTTATTTGCTCATTACAAATTAACAACATTTAAGTTTTAGGACGAAATGAAAAGAAAACACCATTATTAGTTTTCATATAATGAAAGGTACATACTTTTCAAATGTAATAATAATTTCAAATAATATACTGAAGTAATTAGAATCATCAATACCTATCAACTGTTAGTTAATCAAAAAGAGAGAGACAAAGAAGAAATTAATAAAGGTAAGTAATAATTAATCAAGTACTATTTCAATATTAAAATATTAGCTCAACTTACCCGTGCACAGGCGATGCAAATGGATGAGGAAAAAATGGAAACATATTTTGTCTCATTTGTTCCATAGTTTGAAAATATATATATATTATTAACTATAAAATTGATTTTTAACAAATATGATAACTTGTGTAAGTTTCTGTCTGTGCCCAGCGCACCTGTTCGTAGAAGAGCTTGTTCACGATGTGGCTACCTAACGCTGTAATACTGTAGTAATGCTCCTGTTTTCGCATAACACTGGTAAGTTTTAATGTAAACACGAGATTTCATTTGGTCAATCGAACAGCTAGCATCGGCTGTTTGCGCTTGCGCCTGAATTTGTATGTGATTAATGAAAATAGGAATGAGAATGATAATGTGACAAGGAGGTTACGGGAGCTCGGAGGCACGGCACAATAAGATTAAGGGGTAGTTAATTCACATCGAGTATCAACATAAATAGGGGCGGGTTTAGGCCACCAGGGCGCGCTAGCTACCGAACCAGACGGGATTTGACACTTGCCATAGTGCGTGGTATTGTAGTACGGTGCTAACACAAATCTTGTCTGACCAGATAGGTTGGTCATTTGATGGTCGAGCATGAGTATTACTGTAATAGGGATGATGGACACAACAGTAATGTTTACCTGGGGTTAATCTGTTGTACACCTGTTATTTTAATAGTTCCACGTTTACAATTGAAATTCGGATTCGCACAGGTATTCTATTTTGGAAACAGTTATCACGAGGTTCGCACGAATTAATGACATTTTATATGACATGCCGTGTTCATTTCACTTAATTTTGGAACGATAAACTTCATACTAAAAAACGGAATAGGTTATCCAATTAAAGATTAATGAATCGTGAATTCAAAACAAAGAAGAAAATCAATTTCTGAGTAATGGATTAACAATTTAAAAATATTTTTGAGTTTTATTTATTTACAACAAATTTATTTTAAATGTTAAAATAGGCAGTGGGAAGCAAACAGGAATGCTTTCTTCAAGTCAAAATATCAAAGACGCACAATGGATAAAAGGATAATGTCCGTATAATTATACAAAAATGGCATATCCGCAATATTTCCTTTTGTTATTATAAATACGAGAGAAACAAGAAAACGTTTAATGAATTTATTAATAAATATTAATGAATATTAATATATATATGAATATTAATAAATATTAATAAATACATCCTGTAGTTTTCTTCCTTGATCTGTAAGAGGAAATTCTCTACTCCACACAAAGTAAAACAAGAAGGTGAGTTAATACTATTTGATATTCGTGTGATTTTTGTTTACATGGACGAAACCAGACAACTGTAAAACAAATAAGTGATATTTATACTTTGTATTTATTTAGGTCGATAAAATACTAAAACTTAGCCCTAGATGAGACTTGAAGGCACGGAAGATATCATTACAAACCTGAACGGTAGACCAGGGCGTGCTTTTATAACCCTGGGTGTCTATCCAAATAAAGTACCTTACCTAAAATATCGACAATTCACGGGACTGCGGCCAGCGTATTGAGCATTTCATATTTGACAAATAAAATTACCCACTTCTGCCTAACAAAATTTCTCAACAAGATCACATTTGTTTCTTCGTTTTGTGATCTTCGTTCTGAATGAGCTATAGATACAGATTACTGAACAAGAACACTTTATACTGATAATAAAATCAATAGGTTGTATATATTATGATATCGTTCTTTTTGTTTGTTTTTATGATAACACTTATACGAACAAAATAATTAAAATAATAACAGAAATTTGATTTTAAAATTAAAAAATGAAAATTCGTTTAGTTTTTGGAATAAATATTGAAGTTGTTTGATACTTTATTGGTGTAACCTGGAAATTTTCTTATACAATCACTTAGCTTTTAATTTTAAAAAATCTATCGATAAGCGATTGTGACTGAAAATGTACAGATTTCGTCTGGGTTTTTTTTAAATCAAATGTGAAATGCAATATGTACAAATATATTTTATAATTGAATTAATTATATTCCATTTGTTATATAAATTAGAAGTAGCAAAACTAACAAAATAGTTTGTAACTGGGTTGAAAATCAATTATCTACATATAAAAGGTACATTTCCGTCTGGAAATACTTCACATTGTACATTTCATGAAATTTCTCTTAAATCAATTTCAGGAAATAAATATTGACACCAATATCCATAAATCATCGCTATAACCGATATCCTTTCATAGATTTAATTGCAATTTCACTTACCGCAAACCTAAGAGCTTATCCGAATCCCAAATTACAATCCGCTCCTAAAGATTCACTTTATGTTTTTTACACCGACCACAAACTTGTCTTATGGGATGTTTCCACAATATTGCTATGGCAAAGCTATAGCCCCCGCTCGGCATCATAACGGTATTTGGGGCGCACTTGGTTCGTTGTTATGTAACTGCCGTCGGCGCGCTCGAAGACGTAATTGGATTGTGGGCTGTTCTACCCCAAGATGCTGGTCCGTTTATAGGGAGCACGTACAGCCGGTAATGCTTTAATTACATTCTAAAATTTCACATAGAAATATGAAATGATAGAGGTATCAGTCCCCTGTGTAATGATTTAACATTTAAAAGCAATTTTCTCTATAATTTACCGTTTAAATTGTTTAAGTTTTGAGGTTTTCAAATCGGAGCGCACGGTTGCGGTATGATGTGGTAGCGAACGTGTAGTTGTGGTTTTCTGCCCACAAGTACGCCTTTCGTGTAATGTATGCTTCTTTTGTCGTTTTAGATGCTAACTGCTAAATAATGTTGCTAAACAAAGTCGCTTTTTTATCAATAAGAATTTTGTTAGAGATTTTTGTATATGTATATATGTGAAAACCTCTGTCCAAGAACCTGTAACTTTTTAGTTCTTTAAAAAAAATATTTGTTTTAGTTTAGTTTAAACGTATTTATTGCCAAGAGTAGACAAGGGATTGGGCACAAGTTATGACAACTTATCAACGCCTTCTCCCAATATACATTTTGAATGACATTACAATAATGACAATAAATATATACAATTATTATTATAATTTGAACTCAAAATCTCTTGCTGGATTTAATAAAGTTTTACACATATCTAAAAATGTTTGGTCCACGGAAAATTGTGAAGTGCCAAACAAAAGTATTACTAAATTTAACGCAATATTCAAATTATTCAAATTTTGAACCAGAATACGTCTTTCGTTTGTAAAAAGGTGACATTCCATAAAATAGTGAAAGACATTCTCACAAGGATGACCACAATTACAAGATGCACTCTCAACAAGGTTAACTCTAAAAAGGTCATAATTAAGGGAACTGCACTGGAGCTTAGTATGCAAATTATTAAGTTTACGATTTCCGATTTTAAAGTAAATAGGTGGACTTGACTGAATGAGTTTATAGAGGGCAGGGATCGAACCGAAGTTTTAAGTTATTCCAACAATGAAGAGTAGAAGGTATAAAAGAAGAGTTCGTAAGAGAAAGTCTGAAAGGAGGAATCCTATTGCTATTATTGTTATGTAAAGCGGAACGATAATTTTCTCCAGATGAAGGCGGCAAAAGATGATCGAAGTAATCAGGAGTTAATTTATTGAAGATTGATGATGATAGTTGAAGTTTCCTCCGTTTTCTGCGATTAGATAAAGTTTTTACTAGGGATATATGAAGGGAGTCCTAGTATAAAGCGAGCAGCCTCACGTTGGGCTTTTTCTAACTTTTCAGATTCAAAAATAGTGCAACCGTCCCACAACTTACAAGCATATTCTAAAACAGGTAAAATAAAAGTCTTGTAAATTATTAAAAGAGCATCCCTACTTAATAAGTGTTTCAGTTTTCGTAAGACATTTTTTTTCATAACAGAAGTGTAAATTCCATATACATGTCTCTGTTTAAAGTTTCTTGAATTTCTAGACAAGATGAAGATGACTTTAGTGATGATGTATCGTCTGCAAAAAGACGAGACGTTGATTAAATAATATCTGTTATGTCATTAATAAATATAAGAAATAAAAGTGGGCCAAGAATAGAGCCTTTCGGAAAACGTTAAACTTCAAACAAAAGTTTTGATATTCAAAACACAAAGATAATGAAATACAATTCATCACCCGGATATTTTCAACTATTCTCTAATACGTTTGAAGAAGCACGAAATTTTAAGAAATGTAAATTATATCTTTTATTCAATATTTACAGCAATAGTAATACAAAAACATATAAAGTCGATGGATAGGGATTTGACAGCAACCTTATAGCTGATGTCAGTCGTCTAGAAAGTTTATAATTAATACTGAATTATCGACAAAATATGCCATAACTTACAAAAAAGTGCACATCAGGATACATTAGTGAGTGTAACTCTTAGTGCAAAATTGAAAAAAAAATCTGCTGTAAGTTTCCGACCTAGTTTCGTAAATAAACAAAAATGCTTTTCACGTATATGTAACATTGATGAATTTAAATATCATTTTCAAACTATTTAGTAGAGAATGAGAATAAAAACAAGATTTATTGACCAGAAAATACAGTTCAATCTAAATTCAAACTTGAGTAAATACATCCTCGACACTCCAGGGTTACGCTCACCTTAGCTCTCTGCTCTGCACAGCGAAAGTGAGCGTAACCCTGGAGTAAATGCATTAGCAAAGACGTTCTATTCAAGGTGTGATTTTTGAAATATTGGACAGTGGACCGTTTTATTGTCGTTTACCATAATTGCTTTCAAGTCTTTTTCTTTAATTTCAGCATATTTGTATGACGCAAATTACAATAGTAGAATTGGCACAACTAACAACAGTATAACGCTACTTCCCAAGTGAGAAATTGGGTTATTTCGTTTTTGGTAAGTTAAAGGAAGTCAATTACAAATTAGATTGATAATATTGTTCTCAGAAAGTATAACAACAGAAAGGTACGATAACTGTGCATACTTTTCTGAGAATATTGTGATACTTGAAGACAGTATTGACGCCCTTTCTTATGCGAGATTTGCTGTAATTACGTAATTGCTGTAAATACGTAATTGCTGTAATTTGTGTCAATAAATATATTGATATAAACTTATAATTTATTGCATTTCAGAAAACAACAACATATCCCCTCCGCATACAGATGGATAGAAAGCAACGATAACAGAACGCAAATATCGCTAACGCATGGAAAACATGCTATGCACGCCGATACTTGGAAATACGCATGCAGTTTTAAGTGTTAAGTGAAAGTTGTTCTATTAATTTATTTCGTTCCGATGGGGAAAAAGAATGACATTTGCAATATTTCTTTAAGTATTGTCATTTTACTAAAATCCCAAATGAATTTGGCTTCTATCTTCCCTTTTATTACTTTTAAGTTTCTAAA